GGGGGCTGAGTTGCCAGCTGGGGTTAAACCACAACAATAGGGAAAGTGGATGGGAACAGAAGGAGAAAGTGGTGCCACTGGCTGTGACCAGGGGAACGAGTGGACTTGTAGGGACTTCTGGAGCCAGCAATAAAGAGCGCAGAGCCCTTGGCAGTGCAAACCACTGATTGCCAGAAGGGGAGGCTGTAAGAACCAGTTGTCCATCCAGACCTCAACCTTGGCAAGATGTGTGGCTGAAGGCAGACCACTCGCCTTCTTCCCCCAACACAGTGAAGTGAAGAGTAAATGAATCTGTGTGCAGGGCTGACTCTGGCCACGTGGGTGGGGAGGAAAGGGACTTACCCCTTCCTAGTGCTCTGGAACTGCTGGGAGCAGAGGGAAGGCCAGAGAAAGGATGCTCTGTGTGCCAGTGGACTGCAGCTCTGCTGAGGGAAAGAACGTTCTGCATTCTCCAGCTGAGCATGGCAGAGATGGCGTGGGAAGCTGCAGAAGGCCCTGCTCATGGTGCCCCTGTTCCAGCTGGTGGCCAAGCAGAGAGGAGCTGGGCACCCTGGACCAGGCCGCCAAAGCGTGGAGGAGGGTCTGACGCAGCAAAGATCCAATGAGCAAGGGCCCCCGCAGGGGGAACTGCGGGAGCTGGCTGTGCTGGCCCAACCGCAGCCCACGGGGAAGAGAGCCCACAAGGAGCAAGCGATTCCGGTTCACCATCAACCCATGTAGGCCTGCGTACCTTGCTGAGCTCCAGCCCCAGGGGGGCACAGCAGTAGCATGGGAGTGTCCTGCAGTGCAGGCTCAGCCCTCCGGTGGGAGAAAGTCCATGCAGAACCATACAGTGAGCCATGGGAACAAAGCAGAGCACCAGACCTCTGCAGGTCCAGGAGCTGCACCAAGAGCATGGGTGCACCTCACCACCGAGCAGAGCTGCTGCACCTCTGTGGCTGGGTGCAAATCAGGGGCTGGGAGAGCCACCAGACAGGGGTGGGAGAAACAACAGGGAACCCCAGTGCACCCAAGCTCCCCGACACAGAGGAATCTGTGCCTAAAGGTAAACGCTGCCTCCTCTCCTCCCTCCTGAGTCACCAGCAACAACTGCAGACGTAACCATTTCTACCCCTGATTTCCATAGGCGTTTCTAGTCAGACCAGGCTTATTGCCACACAGCTGGTAGCTCAGACAAGGCAGGAACTGCCCAGCAGGCAGGGTGCACCCATAGGAGCACTCACAGGGTGAGCATGGGCATCACTGAGCTCCCAAGGAACTCAGGCTGGGGCAGAATCCCACAGGCACGTGCTCAGAATCCCTCCCTGGCAGGCCAAAAGGGGCTGACATTTCCCCATACCCCACCAGCTTCTCCTGGCAAGAGACACAGTCCAGCCTCTAGGGAAAGCACTGCACAGCATGCCCATCATATGAGAGACCGAGGATTTAACACAGGAATACTTGGCTGTGACCGCAGCAATAGTCATGTCAAAGTCCTCGCTCTTCCACCTGGGAGTAGGGACCATTTGGCATACTTTTTAAAGCATTCCTTGTCTTGTGGTAAATATAAAACAATCAGAGGGAGCTTCGTCCCAACAGCCCAGTAATAGAGGATACTGGAATTTTAAATAGTCGTAATGCTGGGGGAGGGTCACCTTTGTTTTACATTCTTACAGTCTGTTAATCTTGCATTCCCAAACCATTGCAGGGAACAGTGATGGCTTTCCCACTCTTCACAGGCAGTGGCATGTGCAGGACGTGCCCGAGGAAGCTGCCCAGATAGGATGGGATTTCAGACCTCAGAGCTCTGTCATGTGTTGGCTGCATCTACCCTACAAGACTACTACCACTTCTTGCGGTCCCTATCCCTCGATTACTGTGGCCAGTGGGTGTTTTGAAGTCACAACCATGACCTTCCAAGCCCATCTCATCCTTTCCAGGAAGGCAGAGCCACTGGAGAACAGTGGTTTCCCAGGACTCACCCTGACAAAGAGCCGGGGCCTGGGATAACGCGCCCCTGGGGAGTAGGGGCACCCAAAGCTCACCTCCTCTGCAGTGCAGACAAGTAGAGACACCCCACAAAAAGCAGGCAGCTACTGCACTAAGCACTGCCATTCTTTCATCAACTGGCAATTAAACAAACTTAGGGTAATGAGGCCCAATTATGGCATCTGTCTGTAAGATTATTATGCTCCGGCCCACAAATCCTGCAAATAAGCTACTGCAGTCAAACCAGAAACAATCAAACAGCTGACATTTGTCATTGCTTTCATTCAAAGTGACAAAAAAAATCACCAAATAAAGGTTGGATGGAGGGCTTACTGTGTAAGCATTTGCTTACTCCACAGAACAACAGTGTAACAAATCACTGCAGGTGTCTTAGAAATATAAAATGGGTCCAAGAGTGTTCATAACCTTTTTATTCTAAATTGCTAACAAGAAACTTGACAGAACCGAACTTTAAAATAATCCTAATTTTGCACAGTCCAGTTGGCATGTGTTATTTTACATTGGTAGTGATACAAATGGTGAAAATTCAGTATTTTGAGGAATATTATTTTCAAAATGTGAAAGGCAAATACCATGCCTGGTTTCTTAATTTTTTGTGTTTGCATCCTTAGATCCCATTTTGTACTTTGCATCCATATTTGGAAATATACTGCTTGATCCAAATGTTTGCACAGTCCCAAACATGTGTTTTTAGTGATTTAAGCCATTTCCCCCGCCCAATAAAGAACAGTAACGTTGGAGCTCTCAAACATGTTTTAAATGTTAGAAAACTAGAAAACCCTAATGGGAACTAGGCAAGTACTTAGGCATGCCCTTTAAACTTCACCTGCTTGGTATTCTGCATATCATAAGGAATTCACAGAGGATTCCCCATTACTGTACGACTTGAAGCACCACGCACCCGTGTGACAAAGTTACGGCTTAAGGCTCGCAGCTGCAAAAGGCGTGATCAGGATGCTCTCTGGGAAGAAGACAGAAGTCTCTGTAAATGACAACGTAGTTTAAAACCAAGTCTGTCCACGTACCCTGCGTGGACACACTCAGATGCTGACAAGCAAGAAGTGCATGCACAGAAAAAATACTTCTAGGTTTGGCTGATCCAGATGATTTTAATTAGTCATTACGCAGTATGAAGTCACAGCCTCTTTACAGGCTGGAGAAACTCTCGAGCTTACTTTATGCTCTCCAGGCTGTAACAGGCCATCAGATGTGTCTTTGCTGGCTACACAGATGTTACAACCACAGCTTACTGCAGAGAAAGTTTTCTGTACCTCTCCAGCAAACAACCAAATGTTCTCACAAATATCCAGTAAGTTCCACATAAATCACTCCAGACACTATGCAATCCCGAGAACAGTAATATGTAGTGTTGCTTTGCAGATGCAAGACACGCTTATGGTGCAAGACAGAAATTCTTGGAAATTACTCTGTTGTGTGGTTCCCGACTTCCACTGAAACGGGACTATAATAGTTCCTGCTGCACCAAGGGCTGAATTCACACAAATCTGCCATTTTTGCATGGCATTTCCTCTCCCTCCCTGCCCCCAGCATAATCGCATCCCTTCATTTACTGTTAGCACAAAATATCGGAAACAAAAACGCTGAAGGGGCCTCTTTTGCAAATGCACACACTTATTTTAAAGCATCAAGCTAAGGGACAGGATTTTAACGGTATGTGCAACCCCACCATGCTGTTCTGTTTCTCACCATCACTTCTCTGATTAGGAACCTAATCAGACCCTACCTCCTCTACTTAAAATCACCCCCGTTCTCCACTCCCACCCCTTAAAACCCATCACCACTTCAGAAGAGTTCTCCTGCTGTTTCTAAATCACTGGAGCAAATAGAACAACTTCACAGATCATCATCGATGCCATTTGACAAGTGAATCAACAGAGACTTGCCAATTCCTTTGTTTTTCCAGTTAACTACTAAACTGCTGTCTGAGGAGGGAAGGTTTCCGAGTTGGTGCTGTGTAAATTTATCAGTCCATTTACTCAGTAACAAAGATCACCAAATGAAGATCAGGGTAACTTATGGAACAAATACTTGGGAAAAAGATTTGACAGCCAAGGACAGTTTTAGAGACTCAAATGTTGCAAAAACACGTCATGCAGCAACAGTGAAGTCTACAGAGTCCTGCTATCAGGTCCAGAGATTATCTGCCATCTGCAGAAGCTCTATGGTCCTAGAAAGTGAGGCATTTAGTGCTGGGGGGAACAGACACTAATACTCCAAACTCTGAAAAGGGCAAGACACATTTGGGGTTTTTTTGCACAAGATGGAGAAAAAAACCAAGAATTTCCTCTGCTCCCCCAGGTGGGAGTGGCCTCTGCTGAAGCAGCATTTGTCACCTTGGCAGCAAGGCTTATCTACAAGTGACATTTTAATTTGGTTTGGCAGATTCAGCTGGACATTATGGCAATTGCACACTCACTGGCTTGTGCAGAAGCCATGCCAGCAAAGCCCAAAGAGCACCGGGTTTAGTAGCTCCAAGTGGGAAACAGGACAGTCATTCCTCAAAGCACCATTAAGCTTTTGCTTTGCTGCTAATGGCAAATAATGGTTTGGGATTTCAGCGTCAGACACTTCAACACGGGAAGCTCCCTCCCTCCTACCTCCAGACCTAGTTTGATAGTTTTTTCCCCCAGGGCTGGTTTAAGCAGTCCTAGTTTTAGCCCTGCTCTGACTTTGCTGTGCCTGACAGTGAGCAGAGTTGCACAAAGGAAGGAAATAATTTGGTTTGGGCTGGGGTGGCTGGTGTATGAGGTGAAAGGGGTTAGGTAGTGGGGAAGGACTGGTTTAGAGAGAGAGCCAAAGTGGGTGGGGAGCAGGGCTGCTTAAATTGGACCAGTGTAGTGAAGGGCCTGTCAAGAACAGGAAATAAAGGATTCAGAGGATGCTCCCAGCATCAGACTCCCTCAGAAGCTGCTCTCAGGGAGGCAGGTGCTATACGCTACCCCTTCTGTCCATACAGTGGTGGCTATAAAGCCCCACCGCAGCCAGAGACTTCAGCAACCATCACCATCTACAGCAGTCACAGCACCAAAACCACCTGTATAGTACTTACAGCCTTTCCATGATACGGCATATGGGAAGGACTCAGGGGCACGTACTCTTGAAGGCAAGCAATTCTTTTGTTCAAAGGTGGTACTGGAACTGAAAGACTTCAGTTACTTCTCCTGACAAATGCACTTGCTCAAATGCATGCATTTTACTAGAGCATGGAGGAGAGCAGGGACATACAGGGATGGTACTTTGCCAATCAGAGGTGGTGGTGCTTAGAAGAGCTATATATGCTCTAAACGCTAGGAAGTTTTCCAAAAAGCAGAACAAGTGAAACAAGGCAGCACTGTTGTCACCTGTTAAGGAAGGGGAGGTATTTGAGCTCATACAGAACTGCAGAGCTGTCAGGTGCAGGACTGTTGCTGCATACGGGCTTAGACGAAGCTTAAAACATGCTCTGGCAACTCTGGTGGTGCCATCACATCTCATATTACAGCCTGCAATCATGACCCACTGTCAGATCAACGAAACCAGTCAAGACAGCTCTATCCAGTTCACAGCTGGCCATTAAGCTCCTCGATCCCTGAACCCCAAATTACACTTTGCAAAGGGCAAGAGGGGGGATTTCTGCTAACACAGGGCCCTAATGCCAGCACTTCTGCCAAGTCTAAGGTGACAGGAGGTCACAAGGGACCGCTAGCTAACCATTAGCTCAACAGAAACTCGGTAACTGTTTGAAAAGGCTCCAGAGGGAGGCACCTGGCCACATTTACAAAGTCAGCACAAAGGCTCAGCACCTTTCTCCCCTGCACATTGGCCAGACATCCAGTGGGAAATGAACACAGGCCACGGGCAGGAGGAGCACCCTGCCACATGCATACAAGAGCAGAGAGTACCTGTGTTCCTATGGGCTTCCTTCTTTTGTATGGGCCAGTCATATGAGAAAACAAGTAACACTGAACCAGCACCCTAAGAATGTTCACTGTTAATCAGTATCCCTCCTCCCAGGGTTTGTACAGCAGCAAAGTCAGCCCACGGCCAGCCATCAAGGCTAGGTTGGGAATGGGCTGCACTATTCCTCTATACAAAACATCGTTGTAAGGAATTAAACTCTTGTTCGCTACCTGTTGATGCCAGAATTGGTCATGCCCCAAACAAAAGGAGAATCTGACTGCTCCAATGACTCTGCAAAAGGAAACAGATATCGTGGCTCAGAACTAAGGAACTCCAGCAACCACCATCAGATCAGGAACATCTCTGCCATATTTCTACGTGTTCAAGAGGGAGTAAAAGTTGTTCTAATGATGAATGTGTCTGCTTCACTGTTGTTTAAATGAGGAACAGAAAAGTTATCACGTTTCCATTGTCATCATTGCACATAAAGTAAAAAAAGCTTATATGGGAAGGAAAAGATGCTTGGAAATCTATCTCCATGCCAGTTATGGAAGGCACAGTGAATAGTTCTCTACACCAAGAAAAGCCTGCTGGGTGGAGAGATGCATGGTTTTAGGAAAGAGCAAGGTGTCCTACAAGTGAGACCTCAGCAAACAGCATCTGTGGACTCACACTGTCCCAAGTGGAGCTGAAGGACAGGACCAAGGAGAAGGCAGCGGTGTGGCAAATAGGGAAGTTCCTCACCTGTCTCCCAGTCTTCATCACATGGAGGAGCCTGCCATGTGCTCGCAGCGTTCATCTGCTCTCTCTGGAAGCCAGAGGACTGATTCACTTCAGGAAGAGAGAAAACTCAGTGACTAGCAGTCAATCCTGCTTCAGAGGCATTAAGTGCTTTGGATCAAGCTGTAAAAAATACCTCTTGGCTTTAGAGGAAACCCTGCACAATGCAAAGAGGTTGGATACACCCAGGAGCCAGGTACTGATCTCAAATCAAGAAACTTAAAATTTGTCTTTTTCAATGAATAGGAAAAGACTCTGCCCCCTGGAACTTTGCGGCAGGAATACTTGAGTAAAGAGGAAACCTGCTGAATGAATGCTGGCATCACTGCTAGCCTCAGTGCAACTCTACACAAGACAGAAAACTACCTGCTCTGTAGTGTGGCAATAGTTAAAAAGCTGCTGCAGGGGATGTAAAAGACACTGTGGAGCACAGGATGCCTTCCTAAGTACTGTGGGGGTTTTGGACAGCCTCCCTCCCACCTTGTCTCACTGGGCAGGAGACTGAAATCTTAATGGCAGATGAAGCGCAGCAGCAAAGCAGCCTGGAAGAGGAGCTGCCCCATCTCTGGGTGGGAGTGAACTATTCAGGTTGCCCTGGAGAAGAGCTGCAGCTTCCATAGCTTAGACACTGGTTTGGTAGAAATCAGCTTTTCACATGGCATCAGTGGTCAAGCCTCAGCAAAGGGAGATCAGCTCTACAAGAAGTGCCCATCCTTCTGGTCAGTCAAGCATCCCAGCTCCTGCTGTAGGTACTTCAATGTGCACAGGGTAGGGTACAACCTTTTTATTCAACAAGCCTGGTAACAAAATATGTGCAAGGCTACCGGGAGCATCTGCAATATTCTCATGAACCTATCCAATAAACCAAAGCAAATAAGACTCAAGTTTCCCCAAAGATGCTGTGTCACACAAAACTGGACAATAATTTGACTCCTACTTTTTGGTTATTCTGTGAGCTATCCTTACAAACAAGAGGCCTCAGTCCCCAGGGTGAACAAACATCTTGGAGCATGGGTGGGTGGTTCTCTTACCTATATCTTGCTCAATGAATCCTTTGTCATTGCACTTCGTTATGTGATCACTAAGGTCAGCTTGAGGAACTAAATGGCGAGCGTTGAAGGGGCATGTGGCCAATTCCTTTGCAACTTCAGGATAGCTCTAAACAAGGGAAAACCAAAATCATGTGCCACATTTCTCAGTTCACTTATGTCTTGCTAATCCATAGAAAAAACCCAAGGATATTTGTGATGTTGCTTTAAAAAAAAAAAAAAAAAAAAAAAAAAAAAAAAAAAAAAAGACTAAATGAGGAATGGCAATATATTGTTCAGACACTTACTAAAAATGCAAGGGGAAATTAACATGACCATTCTGTAAAACACAATTCACTGAGAATCTGAGCCATCCTTGAGGTGACTGAAATGAAACATACCCTCTGCTAAACACCCTGCAATTTGCTGCAACACTGGCAATACAGCTGCATGATTTACAGCACAGATGAAACTATTTTAAAAACAATAGAGGAGATACGTAAGGCAAATCTATACCATTCAGATATTTCGTAAATAAGCAGGCACAAAGGTAGAGAAATTCCTTAAACCTTTCAAAACAGCTAGGGAGTTGGTAGTATTCCACCTGCAGACTTTGGTGCTATGGGATTACCCTTCAAGTACAACTTTATCACAGATGCAGGTTCTACTGGCAGTGCTCAACTGTCACTATGGTAAATTAGTCCATTCCCTGCAAATGATACAGCCTTTACTGGGAAAAGCACAATTTTGCCACTGTCCCAGTGCCTGCCTCGTTCTGGCTGATGCAGCTCTGCTGGTCAGGGATCAGACCTACACCCTGTGGCAGAGGCAGAAGTGCCTTGCACAGACACTGCTCGAGGCCAACATGTGACTGTGGCACAGGCTGCAGGCACATGCAAGGCAGTTGGCATTACCCAGTCCATACAGCCAGGGTTGCTGTGTCCTTACGAGTCCATCGTTTGCTTCAACTACCTTGAGCAAGCTATTCTGGCCACATAGCAGAAGTTTCTCAGTACTAATGCAGTTCAAGCTGAAAGGATTCAACTTGCTCTGCTTGTGGTGTCCCCATTAGCATGGCAGTGCTGCATTCTGCACAAAGCAATGGGAAGCTGAGGCAGGTGGAAGCGTTTGATTTTACACATAGGGTATGCAAATGAAATTCAAGAAACTACCAAGCAAGAAGGACAGCCTCCACCCAGACGCTTGCCACTGAAGATGCCACTGTGTGATTATTTGCAGATGCATCAGTTGTCAATCCCTGAGACCTTCTTCTGCTAATTACTTACAGACACCAACTGCGTCTGACCTGTGATCACTCTCTCACCTCATCCTCCTAACTAGGTAGGCTTACCGAAACTGTCTGGTCATCAGTTATGCAGCACAATGACAAAAACAACATGGTTAAACATTTACTTGCCAACACTGCTCACCTAGCTCATGCACATGCTTGCCAAAATTTTAGGGGGTCAACAAGGAAAATTTCAGCCCTCTTGAAGATGGTAACTTGCCACTTAGCTCTGCCCACCATTTTCAATAGTTAATATTTTTTAAGGCTCTAGTTCCACCAAGATGAATTGTTTATAAGTACTGATACCAGGACACACACAACTGCATCTTAACTGGAAAGCGCATCACTGTTATACTGTCTTAAAAACACATTGGCAAACTTATTGGTAAACTTAAGGAGGAACAACAACTGAGTTTTAAAAGGTTTCAGCAAAAACCCAAAGCTCAGTCAGATTCTAGCACTTGGCAGGTTTAAAGAAAACAAATCATGAGGACAACAGAGGAGCAGAGAGAAATGAATGCTTCCTAATAAATTATTTGCATTCAAATTCTGTATAAAAGATGGAGGGGGGGGGAAAAAAACCCTCTCTCCTATGTGCTGAGCCCAGGATGTGCAGTTTCTGCCAGACGCACATGAAATAGTTATTAGCAAAACAAACCAAAAAACCCCACCCCTGCTACGCAGCTGCATTTCCAGCACTTAAAGAATAAGTTGCAGCATCGCAACTCTGAGTAGCCAGAAGGGGTGCACATAACTCAGTCCAAGTTTTCTCTTCAACTTGAAGTGGAAAGATGTATCTGACCTCCATGTGAGCTCCTGGAAGAGAGCAGAATATCCTCCCTGACCTAACAAAGAATCTCTATCTCCTTTCAACAAAGCCACACTGGGCTTGGGTGAATTAACATGTGCTTGAAGCTATAACTAAACAAAGTTATATGAAATAAAGGCTAACAAGGCTACTTGTTAGGAACTTAACGCCAGCCAGCAAATGCAGTAAGAATGAGAACATGTACATCATATTTACATGCACAGAATTACTCCCATTTAGTGCCTTGTTTGGCAGTCCAGCTTACCTTCCTACATTTCACAAGGTGATAGGGAAACCGACAGGCTCTGATTCGATGATGTTTATTATATGGACATTGTATTAATCTGTCTGGATCCAAAACATCTAATAGAACAAAAGAACAGCAAGAAAAAAACAAAACAAAACTAGTTAAAAAGACAAGACCTAGCATCACCAACACATTGAAGTGGGGAAAAAAACCCCATACCACCACATCAGGGCTGTGATCTTTGGGAGTTAAACCAGTTCTTAGCTTAAAACCATTTATTAAGGCAGGCCCCTGTTTTGCATAGCCAAACAAATTCATTTTGAAGTTTGCAGTGACTGGGATGTTAGTCAAAACAGTGAGTTGCACTGATCATAATGCTTTAAGTTACCACATCAGGTAGGCAAACCACACTTACTCAAAGTGAATGAGGACAGCAGTACTTTCCCAGCTATCTTAGAGGAGAATCAGGGGGATGATGACACACCCACCTCCAGGAGCACTACCAGCCTGAACCAAATCTTTTTTGACCAACAGCTAATTTTGCTGGAGGGAGAATGCCAGACAATTTAGCTTCATTTCCAAAGAAGCAGCATACCTAACATGGTGCATGTGACTTCTAAGTGAAATTTTTCATAAGCCATACAATTATTTAGAAGCTAAGGAGTTACTAAACCAGTTAAAACACCTAAGAATCTAGGCACTGAACAGTAAAGCAGCACAGGTGCATGCATACACAAACAAAATTTTTTATCCATCTACAGGTAAAATATAATAGCATATAAATATTAATGTATCTATTAACACACACCCCCCCATTTCCATATTCTCAGCGAGGAAGAGAGGCAGCCAGAAAGGGGCAAAGGTCCCTGCTGCTGCCTGCGGGTCTGTTTGTGGGGTACACACAAGGGAGCCAGACCAGATTCTCTCACCGTTTTCACCCTGACATTGTTTTTGCACAGGCTTCCAACACATTTAGGATTTGATTACGCAGCAGCTTAAACAGATCTAAGTATGGGCTGCTGCTGTTTAAGCCTCTCTCCTGCCATCACATCCCCTTCCCTTACACATGCATTAGTGCTCGGTTGTCTCAACAGCCAGGTCAGGGAGCTCTATCAGCCCACAGGCCAACAGGTAGTTAAGATGCTGTTCCAGAAGTCACACTGAGCAGGCTTCATGCTATGAGCCACTAGGAAGGAAGGACAGACGGACCTAATCCTTCTTTCCATCTCAGCTGTGCAGTGCTGCTGCTGTCAGCTCTGCCAGCCTGTGAGCACCTCTCGCCTCCGTTAGCGGGTTTAGGTTATCAGAACAGCTGAAAACAAATGACTTCATCGTTAAGAAGGCTTGGCAAGCTTTGTGCTGGTTCAGCTGCCCCTGGAAGAGCAATCAGAAACAGTTTCTCTCTGTGAACTGGCTCCACACATGATCAGACCAAGCGCATTACCAGTAAAAGGAAGGAGACAAGAGGTGAGTACTGGAGGAAAGCCCTCACCACAGCACATAAACCAGCAAACACAAAAATCCCAGGCGCTGGCTTGATCAGGTGAATGGGTGTAGTTACAAGGCTGCAACAAGCAAAGCTGCTGGGGCACCACAGCAAAACCATGTGCAAATGAGATCCCCATCCTTCAGCCATACCACAAGCAAACCACACCACAAAAACCTTAACAAAGAGGGTCTGGAGCCGGCTGGGACAACAGCTACAGGCAGGAGAGACACTTTAACCAAAGTCAGTCACTTTATCCAGATGCTTCCTAAAGGCCAGCCCCCTGGCGTGGTGTGGCAACCACACATACCATTGGCCTAGTTACAATAATCAGTGTCCCACTGGAGCCTTCTTGACTCCAGCACAGAGACAGCCCCACACCGACTGGCCCAGGGCCAGGCTGGGGCCGGGGCCTGCCTGCAGAAGGCAGCAGCCTCCTCCTCCCCGCAA